TAAGCGTTCAAGCAAACCACTTCTGAAGATGCAAGCCACTCGTGCTTGCGAAACGTCAGGAAGAAATTCTACCGAACGACGGCCTAAAAACCCATCAGTTTCAAGGAATGGCCTCCAAAGTATATCTGTTTTGATAACTTGGAAATGTCTGCTCATATACATTCAGCATGTTTTTGTTACTTCCAGGGCCAATATTACCAAGGCCGACTGTTCGCTGGAAAAGGAGCTGGATCAAGTGAGAATTTCCCTGCAAATCATGAACCAGTTTTCACTTCGGTTCCTTTGTTGCAGGCCGCTGAAGGCACCGGATTGGCTTTCATCGTCTTCACTGAGGCGATTGTTAAACTGCCATTGGCTCCCTTCTGGGCCATTCTGTTCTTCGTTATGCTGCTCTCGTTGGGCATTGGCTCTCAGATTGGGATGCTCGAAGGCATGTTGTGCACCATTTTCGATATTGAGATTTTAAAGCGCGTTAGCAAGCAGTACATTACAGGTATGTGAATTGGCTCTTGGAATAGTCTTGGTCAACCATAGGCTTCATTCCATGTGATTTCAGGCACAGTTTGCCTGATTTGCTTCTCTATCGGCATAATCTTCACAACTGGTGCCGGAGAATATTGGCTGACAATGTTCGATTCTTTCGCTGGCACCATTGGCCTGATCGTTCTCGCTTTGATGGAAATGATCGCTGTAATGTACGTGTACGGCCACGAAAGGTTTACCAAAGACATTTACGAAATGACTGGCACTAAACCCGGGCTTTACTGGCAGGTTACTTGGAGGTTTTTAGCACCGGGAATAATGATTGTTATTCTGGTTTCCTCCATTATTTCAATGGTGATTACCCATCCGGAATACTCCACATGGAGCGCTGAAAAGGTGGGTTTGACCACTCACATCGTGAGTAGGAGGGTTTTTTGAGCTGCTGGGTGATTTCAGGGCGCCACTGTAAAAACGCCCTATCCAGGCTGGGTGCTGGTCATAGCAGGCGCTATGGTTTTGGCAGGCATTCTGCCCATTCCCATAGTGTTCCTTTTGCGCCGATACCAAATCCTGAAGATGGACATTAACATCCACGAGGGCTCGATCCGAAGAATCGATACGACTGTATCGACCAAGGAAATGATCACCGATGTGGACGTGAGTATTCTGCATTCATTCGCTTGGAGTTAGCTGTCCAATGACGCTCGATGTATAGCTTTTATTTGAGAAATACTCGCAATGTTTGGTTGAAATTGAGAAAGAAAGTTGAAAGTGCAAGTAGAAGTAGCTTGGGAAAAGGAAACAGAAAATGCTGCCAAAGTTGCGCCTGAAAAATTTCGCTACGATTTGCAACGTTTCGGTTAGTAGCATCTTCACCCGATTTCAGGCCTTGTCTGTTTATTCCAGTCGAATTCAATTGAATTTCAACCAATCACAGTACATGCTTTATTGGTGTAAGCTTGCCTATGTGTACCTAAACTTGCYCCTAACAACCTTYGCGAATCAAATTTTMAATTTTTTAGGAAATTTTCGAAATCGTCGAATATTCGACTTTGGGCAGAAAGACCGATTGGGTCGATAGCCTTTTTTTGTAGGAAATAAAGATTATTTATATATATCGACTTTAAACCCAAGCGTCTGAYATTTATGTGCAAGATTTCACTGAAAGGACAATTTTTACATAAACARTGTTCCTGGGTTTCAGTCATTTATTTAGAATATCACAATTTAGTCCTTAAAACGTTTCGGTGTTTTTCCACCATCATCAGTTTGTTCGTGTAGGCAGTTTTTGCTACGCGTTTTTTTGGACTCTACGCAAGTCCAAAAAAACTCGCGTAGCAAAAACTGCCTACCCGAACAAACTGATGATGGTGGAAAAACACCGAAACGTTTTATTTATTTAGACTAGCGTAGAGTCCAAAAACTTGCGTAGCAACAACTGCCTACGCGAACAAACTGATGATGGTGGAAGAACACCGAAACGTTTTAACGACTAAATTGTGATATTCTAAATAAATGACTGAAACCCAGGAACGTTGTTGATGTTAAATTCGAAACACAGTCAGTAAAACCTACATGATGAAAGAATAATATCCAAACTGAGACAAAATTTTAAGTTTCACTCGATATTTGCACTTCTAAATAGAGCTTCAACTGGTTTTTCAAAAAATTGGTAATTTTTCAAAACGTCTCTTTGACCGAGAAATTTTAACTTCAGGTGCGTTTCAGAAATGGAAACGCAAATGTGCAACTTGAAAATTCGACTTTGATCTGGTTAAAACATAAAATTCGTGCTTTGAGCTGGAAAATTTGACTGAAAATTTAAGTGGATGTTTAAGGTTCAAGACTTTGAGCATGAAACCCGAACTTCAACCACGAACTTTTCTAATCAAACCCCAAATTTGTCTCAAAAAATACGATTTATTCGGGCAATTCTCGCTTCAGTCTTCAAACGTAGGCACAAATTTCGAGTTTAACTCAATATTTGCTTACCTAAAACTGCGAGACCCAAAACATTACATTTATTTGTGAATATGAAATGCGAGGTTGGTCTACAAATGTAGAGTAAAAATTCAAATTTTACGTGCATTTTCGAAAAAAAATTGCGACTTTGCGCTCGAATTTCCAACTTGAAATTAATTTTCCAACTTCCAACCTGCAAATCCGACAGGAATCTAGAAATTCTTACTTTAAAATAAAAAACTGCAGTTGATTTAAAAATTTTAACTCAGATTGGGAACCTCGAACTTAAATCTCAAAATTTCACCGGTAAGTGCGTGTTTACACCTTGAGCAGAAAATTCCATCTTCTACCTCAAACTTTCCAATTCAATCAGGCCCCTGATGACGACTAGTTTATACCCTCGAAACATGTTGGCTTTGCGATGACTGTGCGTTTTTTCGCCAAACTTCCATTCGACAACTCCACTTTTTTCTAGTACTGTCGCTTTTACCACCTGAGTGGGAGTTAATTACGTAAAAGAAAAAACGACTCTATTCAATGAAAAGTAAAAACATACTAATAAAGGCCTTTGATGAAATGCCGCTCACGTTTCATTAGACGATGGAAAATGACAATTCTTTGCCCGACAAAAATAACGAAGTTAGAAATTAATATCGAATATAAGCATGCAAGTGGTAAACATAGAAAACTACCCCGTTAGCCAGGCTTGATCCAGTTTTAACCAAAATTAATTTATTGCAAATCAGGAACAATTAACCAGCCCCGAAGGCCCCTGCATCACGGCTTCCAACACGCTCAAAAATAAATTCACTATCGGAGACTTTGAGGTCTAATGTAAGTAATAGAAAATTGCAGTCCCGATTCGGAAAATGAGAAGAAAATCCCCAGTTGCCATAAAATCGATTTTCTCCCATTTGAGGAATCGGGACGCTAAATACCTTTAGTCGCATTGCTTCTGTCTGTAGTCATTGTTTAACTGTTTTTTAATAAATACGAAAACCTTTTTTGGGGCGAATGTACTGAGTTTTTCCTCACTAAGTCGCACGCACACTTTTTCTCCCTAAGCTGCAACTAACAGTGTAAAATATGGGGAAAGTTGTCAACTTTATGCAGGGTGTTTGCCGAGGTATGCGAAAGCTACCTACGTGTACAGGGTGTTTCATTTTCATAAAAGCCGAATGTTGCAAAACCCCGCAAAACTAATAGTCCTGAAAACTGCCCATATTTCCCTTAGCTCAAAAATATGCTAATTAGGGCTTTTTCCAGTGGTCGAAATGGGTGCTTCACCTTGTAAATTCTCTATTCAGTGCTCTGTCTAGGGGTGCATAAATCAGGGAGCTGGCTCCATTAGTTTCTATAATATCAGCAAAAAACTGGCAAAATGTTTGAAATTATGCTGTTATTTTGCCCCGTTTGGCACAATTTACAAACCAATCTCCACGACGCCCTAAAATCCCGAAAAGCTTGGCAGTCTCAGATAATTTTCCTAATAATCAGACGAGTGATCCAGACCTGATCCCTTGGGACTTTCCTACATGTAAAACACTTTATACATTTTTTACCTCAGCCGACACCCTGGGCAAGCCCCACTTTAAACCCTCTTAAAGTGATCAATTGACTTATTTTTCGCAAACTTTTTTAAGCTCGACGAGGAGGACGACAATGGGCCCTTGTCAATATATGGAGAATCGTCGTCCTCTGATGAAGAAGGGCCGCCGCTTAGCGTCGCTTATGGCCGCAACTTTCGCATGAAAGTCATCAGAGAGTAGGGAGATGTCTTAACATTATTCATGAAAAACGTTCTGTTATTTTCGAAACGTTCCGCAATCGAACGTTTCGATCGTATTGCCCAGGTTTAGTTGCAGGGTGACATCAGGGAGGCACTGGAGGCAGTTATTCAGATTTACCGCCAGAATTATGTCCTCAAGAAGGTCCTCCTCTAGTGCTCTAGATATAGGCAAGGACAGACGGTGTGTGATGTTCTGCTCTTGTTATGGCAATCAGGGAATTGCTCACGTTCCACTTCTTTATATGAGCGCAACTGGGTGGAGAAATCGGTGATAGTAATTCTAGGATCGGTTCCATGTCACCTTGCATGTTATCTATTTTTCTATGTCCGAAAATGTGATAATATTTGTAGGAAAGTATCAGTTTTGTTCCCATTCACTTCAAATGTTTAGAGCTTTGTACAAAACAAAGGGGTTTCTATTTCTGCAGCCAACTCGTTTTCTGGGGCGTTGCACCTCATTATTATGCCAATATTTAATAAATAGATAAGTACATAAAGTGAATATTTACAAGGAAATATGACGGTAAGGTCTAGTTGTGTCTGTCTCAGGCCTTATAAGTCTTGTGATTATTAGTGATTAACAAATTTAATGAACGTTTTTACTTATTTAGGGTCACATTGAGGATATTTTTCACAAGATTTTGCTCTTGGTAATTTTAAGTAAATAGTAACACAACAGGGAAGGTACGGGAAAAAATATTGATGTTTTTTTTCGTTCCAATCACTTTGAGCCGCCCGGTATACTGGAACTGTTGCTGTAATCATTGTTTTCGAAACACAGTCAATTTGAAACTAATGGTTTTTTAGGCCGTCGTTCGGTGGAATTTCTTCCTGACGTTTCGCAAGCACGAGTGGCTTGCATCTTCAGAAGTGGTTTCCTTGAACGCTTACACTGTTCCGATGCGATTCCTCGGGCGCCGTCCGTATTTATGCACCGCTTGCATCTACAATAATATGCTTATCTAATGGAAAGTCTCCTTTACTTAGATTTTCAAAATTTAAATTTCAAAAAATTTCAAAATTTGCCATGAGCTAGTGGAAGCTACGATCGCGCCTTTTGCTACCGTTTTTTGAGTGAATTTCCCTTTTTGAAAAGTGGTATAAAACAGCATTGTTGCAGAAGAAACCTCTAGAAAAGCTGTTGCCATGGGGATTTTCTGTGAGGCGAGCATATATTTATCTGCGCACGCGAGCTTGATGTTTTTCCAGATAACCAAAAAACGAAATTTTCACTTACCGAGAGATCAATCTTCAATCAAAGCAGCTTGAATGGATATCTTCTTCATGTTTTCCATTAACCACCACTACATATATTCTTTAAAGACAGGAGATCTGGATGGTGAACTGAACTGCATCACTACACTATAACGTTAAACATGTAAAAGGGCACCGAAAAACCGCCGATTTTCCACAAAAACTGAATCTAGAACCGAAAATCTCGCTTATAGTTGCAAAGTTTCACTTGCTGAGGAGAAAGTTGGTTGCAAAAAGGCCCTTTTCCAACAACAACCGGAAACACGCAATTAATATCGCATAATCAACAGCGCCTTAGTTTGTATCCAAGTCGTTTCCATAGTGACTGATACTTTGCTGCGCCCTGTCGGCGTACGTTGAAGTGACATTGAAAATTTTAGTGGTCATTGAACGGTTGCTATGGAAGCAAGAGTTTTGATTGGTTCATTGGGTCCGGATCCATTTGCCGCATAAATGCGCCAAATTCAAAATGCTCTGTTCTGATCAAAAGGGCTTCAACTGCAGGTTTTTTGCGCTATTCATACCACTAGATTTAGGCAATTTAATGCTTATCATGTAATTTTCTCTTCGTTTCTATGAATGATTGCGTTCCTAACAACCGATTTCTATTCTTAAATCTTCGTATGTATATTAACATCGCTGTCCGATTAGACTGTTCCGATCACGATTAGTGTAAGCGTTAAACCCAACCACTTCTGAAGATGCAAGCCACTCCTGCTTGCGAAACGTCAAGAAGAAATTCTGCCGAACGACGGCCTAAAAACCCATTAGCTTCAAGGAATGGCCTCGAAAGGATATCTATTTTCACAGTCAATTTGTTTGTAAGCATTTAATGAAAGGTCGATTAACAAAGCGCGGAATTTTTACGTTCAAACTCTTCTATCCAGCAGTTTGTTAATCGACTGTAAGACATCTCTTGCCAAGGCCTTCCACCGTAAAGTGGATGGGCCAAGTTTGTTTAAATTTAGCATTAGTTGATTGATAAACAATGTTCTTCGTAGCTGTGTGTAAATAGTGTACATACTATATTAATGTCCGATGTTAGTTTTCGAATTAGCCTTAAGCGTCCCACTGGACTTAGAGCTGATTTAGAGAGCATTTTCAGGTATTACTTTAGTTTTAAGTTAAGTTTTTAAGGAAGATTTTGCGTTTTTTTCAAGGAAGAAACGAAGATTTCCTTGTTTAGAGAACCACTTGACAATACATCTTAGATCGAACCATAAGTCAGGTACTTTTTAAGACTGTAAACGATTCTATGGCGGTATAGTGAGAGCATTTTTTGGTCATTGATTTACTCTAGTTTGATTCTGTGTTAGTTCAGAAAAATCAAAAGTGATTTGTGTTTAGACATAGCGATACCCGAGTTAAATCGATGTTTGAGCTATTTTTTGAAAATTGATGTGAATAGACCTAAGAAAATTGCTCATCAGTCTAGCGAAGCAAACCACAACTATTCGGTGTAACTGTTTGGTTTCCCGTTGCCATTTTGCAAATGCAGAGCAAATTTGAGTTGAGTTGAAACCTTTGCCTGAAATGTTACAAACACTTGAACAATATTGAGGTTCACACTGTATTTTTTGAGTTGTCGACAGATCATATGTTGCATATGTAATATAGAAAGAATAATAAATGACATACTTAAACAGCTAAAAGTGTTTCCTTGAATGAACATAAATATTCGAAAATTGATACTAAAATGAGGGGATTCTTTAAGTGGAAACATTTCGAGAAAGTCGGTTGTAATTTAGGCGAAGCCACCAAAAAGTGTTTTACACGGGTTTGGTAAATCAACGAAATCGGCTCCAATTGAGCCACAGAACGGGTTTTTACACCATAGAATCGCCTGGAAAATGTGTGCAGTTTCCACACTAAAAGCCAAATTTTCAGGAAAACAAAAACATTTAAGCGGCTGATTGCAACATTGCGAAATTGGCGCAAACAAGACGCAGCTGTTTCCCTCGTATCTCAAAAACCTTTTAAGTTTCAAAGCCAACTGATAGAGATTTAACGAGACGATTTTACTAAGTGAAACTTTAGTTAGAGAATTGTTGCAGTTTTCACCCAAAATGAAGATTTCCAAGTCAATTTGAAATTTTGGCAAAGCAACAAAACATTTCGTTTTCGGCTCATATATGCGGTGACTATTTTCCTGCCACTGGATGGAGGATTAAAAATCCCATTTATGAAATGGCACTGAACTGAGAAAAAGTGGCAGATTTCCCACTAGAAGCGAAAATTTCAAGAAAACGATTAAATTTATGCGATGATTCCAAAATTGAGAAATTGGGCCTAAGAAGACGCAGTCTTCTTGCTCGCCTCAAAGCCTTTTGACCCATAAACCCCGTTTTTCTACCAATCGATACATAATTAAAGCCAGAATTCACTGCAGTTTTTTATTGCCAAATGGGAGCAAGATTTTTGCCAAAATTTCATACATTTGCCAGCTTTATGTCTCAAAAAAACATAGATATTGATAAATTTTGGCAGTTTTCACACAAAATCGCGTCAATTGCAAAATAACTACTGCTTCAGCGCGGTTTTGCGATGACTGATGTGATCGCCCCATCAACCCCTCCTGAAGATGCCAGTCATTCGAACTGGCGAAACATCAGCCGGAAATTCGCTTCCACATCATAAAAGCGCGAAAAACTCTTCAAAATCAAACAAAAGTTTTTTGCTATTAATCAACGTCAATAATTTTTCAAAGTTCGCGTGAGTTTTCCGAAAGCAAACAGTGCGAGGATTTTTGCAACACAAACCCGATAAATTTCAGGCATTTGTGATTAATTCATATTTGCTTTATTTAATTTTTTAAAGTCCGGCCCTTCTGTTCGGGTTTCCGATTGGTCAAAACGCTCAAGGTGCAAATGTTTCATGCGACCTTCCATGTGCTTAGAAGGGATGTTCAAAAAGTTCCCAGATGAAATGCCCAGGCAGTCGCGCATGTTGGAAAAATTGAATTGGATAAATATTGTCAAGGGTACGAGGATGAACAGTCTATGCGGCGTCCGGCTCGAAACATCGCGCGTTTACACAAAAAAATACAATTTTTGAGTGATAGATGTGAGTTTTTTATGTAACCGTTCATGGGTGAAGTTTAGTAAGTTTCGGTTAGTTGTTGGTGCGGATTTAGTCGTTCTCGTTAAACGCTCTTAAGGTCAGTGGTTTATTATGCAATTTTACGTAGTTTCGGGCCTAATTTTCGATGCAATTTGGCCGGTGACAACTATTTGCAGTCTTAGGCATTCTGCAAGTTTCACTCACTTGATAGAGCCGGAAATGCGTATACAATTTAGTCATTTTAGTCACCTATAAATGTTTTAAATACGAATTTGTTTTGAGTGAAAATGCCTACAGAATCAGAACTTTTTATACAAATTCTCTGCATTTGAACATTTCTCGTTAACAATCACACGGACATTGGTCTATGGGAGACTGGAAAATCAGCAAAATTGATCTTTTTCAGTTTAAATATCGCTGAATTAATTAATGGCTTTTCGGTGCGTCTCTTGAAAAGCGTCTATGTGCAGCTTTTAGTTAAAAATTATTAAGCAGTCCAATTTCCCCTTCTAGTTTCACCATTTTCTTCAGCCAAAAAGCCGCTGGTTAAAGATTAAGAGGAAGCAAAAACGCATCTTTCATATTAACCAGGGTGTGCACACTGAACGTATTTGGCCGAAGACGTTTTCGAGGGCCGCATCGGGTTTAAAGCCTCAAAATTGCCAATTCCATTAGGAATTTTCAGAAAACCAGTAGCTTCCTGGAAAGCCCATTTGCTTTCGAAACTTTTATGTCTCTTGAACTTTGTTTGCGAAACGCGACGTTTCGGAGAAAAATGCCAACATTTGATCGATTGCATATGGCGGTTCGCCTGTAAAGTCTTACAGTTTTCCGGCGTTGGTACTAAATAACGAATTTTACTTTTCAATCTTTGAAGGCTTTTCAAACAGTCACACTTTCGTTTAGCTTCTTTCATAGATCCTGCGAACTACATTACAAGCTTTCAGCTTGGACGTTTCGGCGAGACAACAGCGCCATCATCAGATTTAAAATTCATACAAACTCATAATTGGTAAACATTACATTCTTTTAGGTCTTTGCCTTCTTGAAACCTTAAATTTGTCTCTTTGAAACATCGTTTATTTCATTACGTTTCGGCGAGACAACAGCGCCATCATCAGATTTAAATTTTACACAAACTCATGATTGGTAAAAATCAACGTTCTTTTAGGTCTTTGCCTTCTTGAAACCTTAAATTTGTCTGTCGAGAGACAAATTTACGGTTTC